AGGACAGGGTTGGCTTCTGGGCTGCGGGAGCACCCTGCCGGCTTGTGTTGAGCTTCTCATCTATCAACACCCCCAAATCCTTCTCTTCAGGGCTGCTCTCACCCCACTCTGTGCCCAGTTTGTATTTGTGCCTGGGATTAGCCTGGCCCAGGTGAAGGACGTTGCACTTTGACTTGTTGGGAGAACGTTTTGAAGAGTCAGGTCTCTGATGCAGAAATATTTGAATTAGCTCGTTAAGGACAGGGCATTAATACAAAGCAAGGATGTGGTGTTGCACACCTGTGGAACTACGACAAGGGGAGCCTATTTTCAGCTTTTTAGAGGTGTAGTGCTGAGATTCTCGCTCTATAAAGCCAAAGGGAAGTGGCAATCTTACATGGTTGTCATAACTTCCTAAGAAGGAAAGATTTCTTCCCTATTTCGTTGACACTTGGAAAGTCAGATATGGGAGTGTCTGAAGTACTTGGAGTCTAGACTTTTCCTTTCTTCCTGAAGATACATAATTTTGCTCACTCTACGGGATTTTACAAGAGTATTGTCTTTCTTTGCCCTTGTCTCTGTTGGCGTGCTTATTCTGCCCCTGCTTTATTACTCTTGACAAGACTGAAATACGCTGACCTTGGGTCGCTCGCTTGGGCAGGTGCCTGTGTGCCAGTCCCCTGGGCTTGGTATCAAAATGAGGAGCCAGGGCAGTTTGTCCGTGTGTGTCACTGCACAAGAGGGAGAAGGACAAGTCATTTCCCCTTTGAATTGAGCTGATTTCCACGAATGTGACCAATTTAGAAATAATGAGGAAAAAATGTTAAACGCAAGTAGCATCTTTCTTTTTCCGGAAAGACTGGGGACCGTTAAGGTTTCATGAAACTCTCAAACATTTAAAACCGAGAATTTGTTCCATTTAGGACTTTAATAATAAACAAAAAAATCAGCTTAGATATTTTCCAAAAAACATAAAATCTTCCTTTGTCTCGAACTTACCTTAAATTAATAGTCTCGAGCATTGTGCATGAAGAATACCTTTCATTACACTGGGACTCAGAAATACAGTTTTGCACTTGAATTCAAGTATGTCCCTCAGTTAGTAGAAGCTAAAATGGGGAAGGAATATAAAAAATAATGTATTATTCGTCAATGCTGTTTCTTTCCAGTGTCTATCACTTTATAAGCAGGTTACTAGATCTCATTTATGGAGCCTGTGTAAGGTAGTAGCTTAGGATTGCTTCTGAAGGCGCAGTTGGTGAGTTGGCAGTTTGTGAATGGCAGCAATGGCGAGTTTGTGTGTGACGTAGAGAGTTCTGGGGCTGGGTTTGGTGGCCTCGGAGGTGATGGGTGTAGAGGGGCTGTTTTTGTTCTGGTAGATGACAAGCTGCTCGAAATCCATGTCCTTTGACTTCGGTTATTTCTTTCGCACTTGAACTTAAACATTATCGCACAAATCCGCGTGGTTTTCCTCTTCAAAAATCTCTTTATTTGGCTTGCTTTGAATCTCCCTACCGCTGCCTGGGCAGGAGGTAGCTCCCTGTCGCACGGGTCGCAAGCGGTCGGCTGTGCCGTGGCTGGCCAGGCTGTGCAGCAGAGTGCACAGACGGAAGGAAGGAAGGAAGGACCTGTGCCCTGCTGGGCTGGGTATTAGATATCGCTCGAGCAACACAGGAAAAGGTGGGGTGCTTCGGGATAGTTCTAGGCAAATCTGCCTGGAAAAATCCCTGAGTGTAGGTCTCTGCCATACGGTGTGGTTTGTAGGATGTAAGTGTAACGAGGTCCAGGAGCTGCTGCCTTATTTTTAGCATGCACTCTGTTTCCTGTAATCCGTTTCTTTTTCTGGCTCCTTCTAATCATCTTAGTGAAAGGACGATGGCCTCTCAACCTTTTTTGGAAACATCTTCTTACTGCTTTAGGACCGTGTAACCTTTTTGTAAGGCAAAATATTGTTGTCCTGCCTTTCAGAAACCTCTTTCTCTCTGACCTTTTACTGCCTCTGTTCCCAGTGCCTCTGTCTCCCTCACACCTAGACCACTGACTGAACACAACAGCGTATGGAAAGAACAGTGGTCTTTGTTCTGTCTCTGCTAGCTTGAGGAAAGGCAGCGGGTAAGAGCAGTAACACAAGTGGCGTAAGTGGTGTTCAACCCAGATGAGGCATTTCTTGAGCTGGCATCTCTGCAGGTCAATAACGAGCAGCATCTAAGATTGATTTGCAGTTTCTGTTTGGTTTAGCTCGTTTTGAAAACCTCTGCGAATGTTGACGAGAACTCTGCATTAAGCTTTTGGCTTGTGCTCTGAGAAATACAAGTTTTTTGCACCTTTGCATCGTTTTTGCGTCTTTCAGGATCTCTGCTTCCACACTGTAATTGTCGCCGTTCTCTGGAAATCCATGTGAAAAATGTGTGTGGAGGGGTCAAATTTTATTGTAGACTTATTCTTCAGTGTATTTGCTGGTAGCTGGAAGAGGGAGGGTGGATATTAGTACGCCTTTCTGTCTTAAAATATGTTGTTGATGTGTCTCTTAATGGAGGTAATCTGACCGAGCTCCTGTAGGCTTCATTTCTGCTGACGTGCGCTTCTTGATTTTAAACAGTGTGAAGAGTGTCTGTGCTGGCAGCATGGAGTCTGTATGGGTTTGCTGGAAGATAATATACCTGAGAAATACACCTGCTATGTTTGCCAAGATCCTCCAGGTACAGGAATTTAAGATTACAGAGCCTTCTTATAGATGTAGTAACTTTCATCTTTGCTCTCTCTGTATATAAACTAATGAAGTTGAGGTTTGTTGGTTTTTTCTCTCCCCTAGCAGCGTCTGTCATTACCGGGAATCGAGTTTGGTTATAGATACCGAAAGTTGTGGTTCTGTGGATGTACACGAGTCGGTATTGCGGCATTGCAGCTGGACAGGAATGGAAATGAGTGTTTTAGCTGCGATGACCGGCTCTTGTCACATTTGCCAGTAATAAGGATCCTCCAGGCTGGCTGTGGGAAATAAATTCCGAGGCGCTCGAGGAACTTGAGCAAAGACTCCCTGTGGGCACATCCCGTGGGATGTGGCTGCAGCTTGCCTCCAGCAAGCCCAGGCCTGTGTATTCTTTAAAATAAGTCAGCAAGAGGCTTGTTGGTTCTCAACAGCTGTGGATCTTACCCGGCTGACTGCATTACCCAGGATAACCTGTATTTGTGTTTATCTTGGCTAACACAGCCAGAGTTGATTTAGCAACACATTGTCTACTCATAACTATAGATTTTGAAATTAATTAATCCGTTTAACGCAGTACATAAAATGACACTTTTGTAGTTCTTCTCTGACTTCCAACTCTACAAATTACAGAGCCTCACGGTGTGTGGAAAAGAGTGAATTTGCACTTGAGTTCATAAATTATTAGAAAAGGGGATCCCTGCCTAATCACAAGACCTTTGGGGTTTGTATACACATTTGGATTGGGATTTCTGCTTTCTTCGGCTCTTTGAAACTACCAACTCTTCCAGCTCATTGATTTTGTGTAGTTCATGTATTCATGGTGTTTGTACTCATAGCGAGGAAGACACACGCGCTCCGCTAACGTTCAGTTAGCTGAGTAGTAAAATAACGTTTATTTAAGGTTTGGGGAGTTTTGGTTGAGGTGTTTTTGTGGTTGGTTTTTTTTTTTACAGTATCTTGTGTCCAGGATTTTAACACTCTGTTTTCAAGATACTTTGCTTTAATTTCTGTCATTTTGTGTTAGTTGTGCACTTAAAGTTTAAATGCAAGCTGAAGTTGTGCCATCACACTCGAACTGCTTGTATTTAGTAAGAAATGTTATGGGAATGCTTTTTGGTAAGAACTGATTACAACTAACTCTTCCTCTGCTTAATTAGTTCAGTCGCTTTTATTAAATATTGCTTCAAAGATCCTAAAACTTACATATTTTATTTGGGCTTAATTTTTACCTCTGTCTTGGAAAAGGAAAACATCCAAATTCTTGACCACAGAAGTGGCTTCTCAGCTTCAGCGAATCTGATATTGGCTTGAAATGAGCTAAATAGCTTTGCTTTATAAAGCTGCAGTTTATTAAAACTGGGCATAGCCATTCCAGAAACTCTTGTTTAGGAGCTTTCCCCAGTTGAGGGCTGGGACTTTTAACAGCACCATTTGTATTGCTGGAAATAAAAGCAAGGTTAGTGTAATTATGCCTAAAAACTGTGCCAGCTGCTGTTTTAGACAGTTTGAGTTCAGTTGGGGGAGGTTTTTCAGTTCTTTGGGTTTTTTTTTTCCCCAGTTGTGTGGGATTTTTAAGAGATTGTTGATGATTACCCTTGCTTAATCATTATCAGGATGGTGATGATGAGAGAGAGTTACTCAAGCTGTGGAAAGCCCACGTTGTTGGATGTTGTCTGTGTCTTCTGTTAAGCTCTTACACCTGGGAGGAGAGCCCTGCTCTCTCACACTACACCACTGAGTAAATAATGCCATGGGCGGCTTCAGCGGGATAATCTCAGCGTTGTTCAGGTGACCACGGAGTTCTAAATTTCACATTTTTGTTCTTGTGACCTGAACTTTGTTTTCTGCTACAGCTGTGGCTTCCCAACTCAAAAAGAAGCGTGTGGGGCCATACAGTGGTTCGGGCCATACCTGTGTGAGAGAGTGTACCTGCCTCAGTGCTCGAGCTCTTACAGCCTGGAAAATGTATTCTTCCCTGTGCTGGCTTCTGTTTTGAGAGTTTGTGGAGGTCTTGCCTCAAAACACTGAGACCCCACCTCGAATCCTGCGTCCAGCTCTGGTGCCCCCACCATAAGAGGGACGTGGAGCTGTTGGAGCGTGTTCAGAGGAGGCCACAAGGATGATCCAGGGGCTGGAGCAGCTCTGCTACGAGGACAGGCTGAGGGAGCTGGGATTGTTCAGTCTGTTAAAGAGAAGAC